GTAGGAATTAATTTACTGTTTATGTAGCTTCTGTTAAAGTGGCTGGAGCTAGGCCAGCCTAATGTGTCCTAAAAGAGAACATCAGGACACGTAAGCTTAAACTATGCCCTCAGGGATGTGATTCATCTGTTTTTGTTTTCTTCTCAAGTCATACGTATGATGTTATGCGTTATCTTTTCCCTGGGGGAAGCAGGTAGACATTTGAAATCTGTCTTGATATAGAGGGCCAAGTAGGAATAAATCTTTGGACATCTAAAAATCCCTTACGGAAGACTTTTTTTCTTCAGTTTGTGATAGGAATTTATAATCTGCTCTAATGCAAATGTAACTCTTCTTTTTCAGATTCTGAGGAGGTGAACGTAAGGAAGCGGAAGTAAGTCCAAGCTTCGTGTTCTGATTATTCATGCTTTGGAAACTGCTTTCCCAAAGCTCTTTTAATCATAGATGTACTACTTCCATTTGGATGAACTTTAGTGCCTGTTTGTAAAAACTGAATGATGAATGACTTCAGCTGACTCGGCTGTTCTTTTTGTCTTGTCAAGAGATGTACAACCTGGGGAAACTTTGGGAGAACAACCCACCAAGAAGTATAAATCTCCATCTTTTTCCCTTCTGCTCTTGCAGAGGCCTTGTGTCTGATGAGAAGCAGTCTGCAGTGGAGCTGGATGCTGTGTTACAACACCATCAGGATATGCAGGAGAAGTTGGCTGAAGAAATGCTCAGTTTGGCTCGCAGTCTGAAAAACAACACTCTGGCTGCACAGAACGTGATAAAACAAGATAACCAGGTAGCGCGTGTTACAGTGGTAGGCTTCCACTTTAGCAACCTAGAAGACTGAAGTGCTGAAATATTAATTACGATGCCTATAATTTGCTTTGAGATGGGATTAGAGGGGGGAAAGTTGCAGACAATACCTTTCTGCCTTCTATAAGACAGTTGAGCTTTTCCTTTGTTGCAAGAAATAAGTGGTCAGAACTTTCAAATCTGACTGAAGCTAAAAGCCGCTTGTAAGCTTCCATAAATGTTACTATACTTGTGGAACTGCTAGTACTTCACTGCTTTGAGAATTAGAACTTTTTTTTTAAATTAAGTCCTTAACCCATTTATAACGACCTTGTTTGTACAACTCAGTTGTGTCAGCAGCCCTTGACCTAACTCCTGGACAGCCTTAGCGCGTTTTCTTCTCCTTGTATCTCTACTGATGCACCATTTGTTCTCTTTGTTCCCCAGACATTATCACATTCCCTCAGGATGGCAGACCAGAACTTTGAGAAGCTCAAGGATGAATCTGACCGCCTTGAACAGCACGCAAAGAAATCAGTCAACTGGCTACTTTGGATAATGTTAATTGTAGTTTGTTTTATATTCATCAGCATGATCCTCTTTATCAGAATTTTCCCCAAACTAAAATGATTTTTTGCACCTGCCAGAAGTGAGAGTTGGAAAGTTTGCCTGGTATGATAAGTGCTACCTTGCAATGAAATTGATTATTGACAGTCTGCCACCTGTCATGTCCCAAAAGAGGTCATCCAAGGCCTACCGTTGCATCTCTCTTGTCCCATCTCTGGATTCAGTGAATGATTTCATGGGGAAGGTTTGCTGGGCTCAGATATTTGGTTATTTCTTTTACTTAGTTAATATTGTTGCCCGTTCCTTGAGCAAAGAACTGGGATAAAGATGGCAGATTACGCTGAGCTCCTAAAAAGCTCCTTAGGTGTTATCCTCTGTGTCTTTAATGGAGTTGTGGCAAACATTATGACTCCTCTAAAAGGAGTTTACTTGATACAAAGTTAATTAACAGTCATTTGAAGTCGTATGATTTTTCCTGTCTTTACAGCTCTCCTGTACTGAACTAGGACCATGCTGCAAGCAGAATACTTAATTACAAAGGTTATGCATGTATGCTAGTGTAGGGTATAGGAAGAGAACCCTGCCATTGAGTTGCTAGCCTGGCTCAGATTCAGAGAATGGTGACAGGTAAAGCTAATCTCAGGCTTACCTTCTTCCCAGATGGGTGTTTGCCGTTGCAATCTTCTTCAGTTTAGTTACCATAGAAGGGCTGAAGCCACATGAAGCGTTTGCTTCCCTTTTTGTGTGCGCAAATGTTCTCAGTGAGTCAGTCTATTATATCAACGCTGTTGCATCAAGAATTACTGGCTGTCACCCTTGCACTGTGGAGCTGTACGCAGAGCACTCTCCATATGGTACAGATCTCACCTGTGTGAATATTGTTCCCCCATAAAACAAGGGCAGAGGAAGCTGGTGTCTTCAAGATATATTAAAAAAAAAAAAAAATCAGTTGTTATTTTTTGAGACAAACTGTTCTGCTCGAGAGTGGTTGTGTCAAATTTGTATTCCTAAGAGCTCACTGCCCTAAAGCAGAGATGAAATAAATCAGAATGAATACTTTGTCAAAACAGTTACTTTCCTCGAGCCCTTGTTTTTCTAGTAGTAGGGTTTGTCATGACTGAGTGAGAGCTATTTTCAAGTGTTTGTGATGATCTAGAAGCAAAACATTATGCGTTGTGGGCTATAGTTTCTGGGAGCGTTACTCAAGTGTTGGTCTTTCAACGTGTACAGTGCTTCACATACTGAGAAGTGGGGAGTAAAAGATGATTCCAAAGTGTTCTTTTGGCATTTTTATTGCTGTTCTGAACCACTAGATGGGGTATTCTAGGCCTTCCAGAGCAGCTTTGGATTAGAGGAAGGGGAGGAACAGCTCTGTTTGTCACAACGATGGAGTTTCTATGGAAGTCCAACCAACTGGTTCAACACATAATTTAGTATTTCAGAATTACTCTTTGTTCTTTACAAAAACAACCATGCTAATGTAGACACTAATGTTTTTACACAAAGTATTTTTTATCATTTAGCTGGATGTGTACATGGTTTAGTATGCTAGTCATTTATGCGTTATCAAATGACTGATTATGCAATGAAGTACAGCTTTTGCTTCTTGTAGCTACTCATCTGTGCGATATGCAACCTCTTATGCTAAACTCTTAGAGAAGTTTATAGTTGTAGCGAGTAATAATTTGTGGAGGTTTCGACTTCTACAACTTTTTCCTGAACTGTAATATCTAACTTTTTACTGTGTTTCATTAGTGAATGCTGGGTCTCAACATTATTTTCTAATTCTGATTGTTTACTACTTTCCGTGAAGGTATTTCAGGGCTGAGCTCTTCTTTTAGAGCAGAGTTTGAATTTAGTACTCGAATTTTTTTGAGTGTTATTGGAATGATATAACAGTAATGCTGCATCATTGTCTACAACATTTTCCCCATTATTACTTGAAATAAACTGTTTTTTTTCCAGCTTGCAAAAGACTTGGTGCATCATTGCGGGAAAGTTTAAGCTGAGTTTTGCTATCAGCCATGTGTTGGCAATAACTTTTTGTCACTTACAAATCAGGAACTCACTTGGAAGTACCTGGAACTACTAGTAAAAGCTTGTCCCCAGGCAGACAGTGAGCCCTCCCAGTCAACAGCAATTCCTTTTACAAAGAAGCCTGTTAAGAAATCATTTCAGAACCAGATCCTATTTAACTTTTGACCATTGACATTTCATGGGTGTTTTTTATTATGAAGGCTAAACTGCCAGAACTGAAAGTGAATGCTGTAACTACTAACGCCTTTTATAGTATCTAGCATGATCGTTAAGCGTAGCACCTCAAGCACTGCACTGAGATTCTGGCTGCCTCTGACCCAGTGGAAGAATGTTACCTTCTGAACTGGCAAGCCAAATGGATTAATTGTCTCAGTGGCCAGCAATCTCTCTGCACACAATGACTCTCTTGTCAATTGGCAGTTGCAATCTTTGCTTTCCTTGCGTTCATTTAGTAGTTGTAGTAATTCAAGAACACTTTGAAGCTCTCTGCCGGTAGTATTTTAGAATAAACAATCAGGCAAGACTTTGTGACATTTCATAGATGGAATGGCAGCTTTTATTTTTGACTAATGTATAGGTGGTGGTTGGATGATCTGCTAGTTTAGCCTGCAACTCCATTTAATAACATCGTGCTCTGATATGTTTCTCTTTACAGAATAGTGTTATATACAGAAATGGTTTTCTGGAAGTTGCAAACACTGTGAAGTGAGAATTGCTTAACTTTCCCAAAAGCTTGGGAAATCCAAGTGGAGAGATGTTTATCAGGCGTAGGGTTGGGCCTTGGTTGGCTTCTTGGCAGGCTACCTACTTTCAGACAGTAAGTAACAAAAAAAAAAAAAATCTTTTGGAGACTTGGGTCATGTCAGGTCAGCGAAAGCAGCAGTTTTTGAGCCTGGCAGCAACAGAAACTATGGATCAGTCTAAGCTTTTCCGCCAAACGTTCTTGGCGGCAGACTCTATATACGAGATTTAATTTTTGAGCTGTATCCTCAAAACACAGCTAGATTTGATTTAGGATTTTTAGAGTATATAGGCTGTGAGTGCATGAATAGGGGGAGCAAAACATTGTATGCAACGCTTCCTGTGGCTGGGTAATGAATATTTAGGCTTGTTTTGGGCATATGTTTCCTTGGCTTTATCTAACAAAGCTACTGTGTATTAGACTTAATAGGCTGTGAGCAGCCTTCCAAAACTGGTAGCTGTTATGCCAACTGGGTATCTTTGTAAAAGAATGAAAAAGATGGAGTGACGGCCAAGGTTCTGTTCTGAATCTTTGCTCCCTGTGTGATACTGGGCAAGTCACTTCCATTCTCTTTACCTCTGCTATAAAACTGAAATGATACCTCAGAAATCAACATCTTATAACTAACTACTAGTCTTAAGCATGAAAAAAGTGCCAATAACATCTTACAAAATCTATTTCAACCATGATAACATAGCAGAGAGGAGCAGAAAACAATAATCAAATGTCTTGCTCTACAGTAGCATGTTGCTACTGTTTCAGAGCCCTACAGCTCAGTGCAAGATTGGCTCATTGTTCTTGTGATCAGGATCTACCACGTTGCTGAGGCTTGTTCTGCTCACACCGTGTGTTCCCACTGAACAGGAGTGACATTAAAAACTGACGTAGCTAAATCAACACCACCTGTCACATGAGACCACTGTGACATTTCTGTCATGAACACTACCTCCTAGTAGGAGATGAAGTGGGAAGCAGCAGCAGTTAGTGAATAATGGATTAGATATGCCTGACTTGTAACATTTACAAAGCACTTGGGTGTGTCTCCTAGCTACAGAACAAACTGGTTATCAGAATGGTAACTAAAAGTTCTGTGTTGCCCAAATTGCAAAAACTGAGATAAAGCAGTGTGGCGCATGCAGTTACGGTTTGCTGAACTCTGCTGTGCTGCCCGGAAGGTTGTCCCTCCAAAGTAGATTCTGGATCAGCAAAAGCGTGCATTAGTAAATAAAAGGTGTACCGTAGATGAGAACTGGTGTAGCCAGTTGGCGGCCTGGGGCATGGCATGCCCGTGCTACGTACGGAGTGTGACTGCTGCTGCAGCCGCTGGCTTGCCCATGGCTGTTGATAGAGAACAGCATGCCTGGCAGCAGTGGAGTAGGTTGTGCAAACCAGATACGGGGTTTGTTTAAGTGGGTTGTGAGAAGCTGTAGGAAAGAACAGTGGAGGGGGCAGTGGATGAGGAGGCTGGAGGGGTCTGAAGGCAGTTGTACTATGGATGTGTATTTGCCTATCTTAGTGTGAAGCTGTGTCTGGCTGTCTCCCAGCTGAGCCCTGCTCGCTGACACAGGTTGGGAGCGTTGATTGTCGTGTGGGTCTTGTAGCAATCACAAAAAATCTAGTAACATCCTGAGCTGCAGAGGGTGATACTGAATTAGAACATGAATGTCTTGATAAGGAATGGAAATTAAGTTGAATATTGCATTCCCCTCAGTGACATCCAAAAACGTAAACTGGACAAAACCAGAAACCGAACAACAACTAAAGATACAAGGAGGCAGCATTGCAGTAGGCCATGAACAGCAGTGATTTCCTTTGCATCCTTCATCTCCACTTTCTCTGGACTCCATGTGGCAGAGAGATGCCCCCTGCCATTTTCACCTTGAGCAGCAGTTGTATCTGCTAATGCAACAATAGAACTGTCCAGAAGGATCTGACAAGGTTTCCTGTTTCGACAGCAAAAACCTGGGACTTCTTTCCTTAGCACGTAAAGTGACCGGATCTTCATCCTCCGAGCTTTCTTCCATTGAGAGGAGAGTAGTCGCTTAGCGGATTTGGTGTGGACGGAAGGAAGGGAAAGAAAGGAACTTTGTCAATCCATGACGTGAAATATTTTGTATTAGGAGATTTGGCAAATAGTTCTGTGTGACTGCAAACAGGATGAGATAAATTTCCCAAGGTCAGCTCTCCTGTACACTTGGCTTTCGGGCTAGTCACTGAGAAGTCAATTCTGTAACCTTTACAGCAACATCCTGCCAGTGATGCAGACACTCAGCTATTGTTGGCTTCAACAGCAACTCTTCTGCATCTTCAAAGGACAGGAGGCTGAATAACGTACGTGCTGCATGGTGAGAACTTGAGAGCAGGAAAGTGGGCTTGAAAAATCAATTCTTAATAAAAATAAGGCAGCCTGAGGGGGATCCCAACAAGAACCTTTTCCTCCCTAACTTTTTCCAGGAAACGCTTTTCGCCTAGGGAATTGGAACCTGTTCTTAGGAAAGGGCAATGTTCTCTAGTGAATGAAGCAGAAGGGGGGAATGCTGAGCGCTTAGCTCTCCCTTCTGGCTTGCTATGTGGCTTTGGGTCACTGAACTGTTTCTCAGCTATTTTGTTCTTAAAACAGGATCACTACTGATGTACCTTTCTAACAAGTTAACTGCTGTAACGCTCCTTTTGGGTGCAAAGCTTTGTGTTCCTTGAATCTTCCTGGACGGACCAGTTAGTATCGTGCTCTAAGTTCTTTTGTATAGCCATAAAATAGGCTAAAAAAAACCCCAAGCACAGACCTCTGCTTGTGTGTTTGTTTCCAGTATATGTTTCGTGAGAAAAAGAGAGATCGCATTTTCAAGACAGCAACCTTTGAGTAAACTCAGATCCTCAGAGATCTGGAAGCCATTCTGAGTTCTCTCTTCACACGTAGTTGTCAATAGAGAGATGTGACTGAGCTCCAATGGCAGTGTGCAGACTGTTGGGTTCAGTGCATCTGCACTGCTGTGGACAGCAGGCCCTGGAGGTAAGATTTCGTGGGGAATTGTATTAGTGCCTAAAAGAAACAGAAATCAGCTCAGTCTGTCTCAGCTTTAACTCAAAGCAGGGGAAAACAGTGAATACAGCGATAAAGCAGCCTGTTTTGACCTTTTCAATAGGTGGAGGACAAGACGACTGACCCATTTTACAAAGCCACCTCCCATACTCAAAATGCATGCCAGCTCACTCATGCAAAGGTGGCTCCTTCTATAGGGATGTTACTGGCTGAGGTGGGCTTCCAAGGACGTGCAACTCCTAGCAGCGTCCTAGCAGAACATCCTTGACCTGAGGTCTTGCAAAGTTACATTTGCAAATGTACGCTTTTCCAGTATGAAATTATTGACACAAAGAGGAAAAAGAAGTTAAATGTCAGAAAAGAGTATCATCTCAAAGTTCCTTGTCTTTCCTAGCATTTGTTACGTATGATTCATTTAAGCAAATAGCTGCTTGAAAAGAATAAAATAGCCTTATATTTTGTGGGGTCAAATAGGTAAATACCTTCTATTTCAAGGCTCCCTGTATTTATTTTCTTAGGAGGGCTCAGAAATGAACCAAAAAGTCCTCAAGTCTCACAGGTCATAGCAGACACTTATCACTGCTTAGTTA